TTAAACTATGCTTAAGCATGCCAAGTATTATCAAAGCAATGCTTAAGCATGCCAAGTTATTATCAAAGCAATGCTTAAGCATGCCAATTATTATCAAAACAATGCTTAAGCATGCCAAGTATTATCAAAACAATGCTTAAGCATGCCAAAGCATTATCAAAAAAAATTGTTATGGGAATTAAACCATGCTTAAGCATTAAGTCTTATTAAAACAATGCTTATGCATGCCAAGTATTATCAAAACAATGCTTAAGCATGACAAGTATTATCAAAACGATTGTGACGACATTATATCAAATATTATTTAGCATCTCGGTAAATGCTATACAACTATGCTTATAAAAATAGTGATAAGGGTGGTTGAAAAGAAACCAATTACTATTCAACAGAAGGCACTGGCACGGGGTTGTATTTAAATAGTGTATATTATGTAAACTGTTTTCTCTGTATTTATATCAATTTTTAACGACATAAACCCTTTCTAGTAAATCACTGACGTACGCCATCTTTCACAAAATTATTAATGAAGTCTTCAGAAATGACCATTTAGGATTTAAAGATTATAAAATATATTAAATGATAGTATCCGGTATCAGAATAAGTGTAAAAACTCGTTAATTATTTTCACTTTTTCTTTATTATACATATCTGTTTACCTTGACAGTGGTCAGTTTACTTTGAAGTGACCGTTATGAGGTAGTTATGGTCGGTCAATAACGGACCAAATAACAATAAATCGAGGTCAAATCTTTATTTTTAGGGATTACTCTTGTTATGATATGTATAAGATAGGTGAATATGGACAATAACGGAAAGTAATAACAAGTTACCATTTACCATCTGTTATTTTGAGAACATTGTTATTTCAGACCCGATGTGAATATTATTTTGCCTGCGAAAACATACACTCTGCACATTTAGGTTTTGGGGAGAAAGGGGTTGATTCTTTCAGCTGTATAAGCCTGGGGTGGGGGGGGGGGCAACTATTTTGAGAAATTGGAATGGATGGTCTATATTACGCAATATCCGGGTGCTCCTGTAATAGTCTGGATAAATATACTGACGATCCGAACCGCAAAACGAAACCCGAAATCCAAAACAACACTTTGTGAAACATTGGTAGCAGCCTATGAACTTTTTTCAAATGAGGAAGTATATCAATCATAAGTGAGTAAAAGAAGCATTCGGTGCTGCAAAAGGTAATACTTTCCAAAGGCGTTGTATAAGCCATACATGAACGTTGACATAACAAATATCAATTTTAACCAAATTAACAAGTTCGTACACATTCAGACCTTTTGGGCACCGAAAGACCTCTGACCATTTCAAAAGGTCAAAATTTCGATTATATGCATGGTTGCTAAACACGTAAATGAAATCGTCACCGCTTCTAATATAGCACAAGTCGTGAAACTATTCCGAGTTTTCCCATGGTTTCTGGCATTTCTGACAAAATTGAGTATAACGGCACCATCACCAAAACCATGGCGTCAAACGGTTTTGGCAAAGATGAACAAAATGACAAAAAATTGAATCCGATTCCCTTGCTTATTTGGAATCTTAATTGAAAATAAGTAAAAACATTGTTTGTCTTATCTAATATTTGAAAGAGGTTTAAAGACGGGTTAATGACCCTTTTATCAAATTCTATACCAATATCATTTACAGTTATAATACTTTTATTAAAGATGGTTGCATAATGCGGATCAGAACCAAGTCTTTTCTCTAATGATGATAATGTGCTATAAGAAAAGATAAGCTAATAGTTATGATGGGATGTACAGAGATAAGAGGTTTAACGACTGATAACATCTTTGTAGACCCTTACGACGTGCCTTAGCGACCATCCATCTAGGCCAGTCATAATTGGACGTGAATTTTGTTATTGGTTGATGTGGCAGGACCAGGTTTAAGTCAGCTAAGTCAGTTTAGACAGTAGATTCATTTTAGCGATTTGTGGTCTGTCCCCGTGCCTCAATGATCAATAAACAGATCTATCCATTGCGGGATGGTCTCATACGTGGACATGTGCCGTATATGATTGGGTATCTTTGTTTTTTAATTGTATTAAAGCAGAGGTTTCAGAAGTGAACAGGCAGAAAAGCAATATGTCGGTGTTGCATGTAAACATTTTAGTATTTGTTGATCAACTCGAAAGTCAACTGTAACCAAGAAGGCGACAATAAAAGGAATCCTCAGTTATTATCCCTGTATTCTACATTATTCACTTCGCCAAGAATAACATATATAAGTTCTTATATAAATATATATCGTGGATTCTCATATCAATCAAATCAAAATTCATTTCGTGTTCATGATTTCGCACAAAATTCAATGAAGTTAGAACGGATACATTGCAGTTTTCGCAGCTTTTGTTTGTTTGGGGTTAAAACCTTCAAACTCAGTTTTTGTCATGTACAAAATATCACCAAAATTCAAAACTAAGGAAGTTATATAAAGTATCTTTGTATTCTTCAACCGGCAATAAAGAACCAAAATTTCACAGGTTGGATGTTCAATTTACTTTTTCTTGCGAATGGAAGTAAAAAGCGATTTTTGATTTGATTGATGATGGTATGGGGTATAAGAAAATGTTGGTTTAAGCAAAGCTTAATCGCACTGCGACTGTTTTCATAATCACTGATCAGTGGTATTTTCGCTCTGGTCACCGTGTAGGAAAGACTAAGGCTCTGACCATGGCCGTAGGTGATATTTTGTAGTGATTTGATCCGACTTCTCCGATACAACATAACTATTGTATATTAGGGATTACGAGATCAGGTTAATCGCAGATTATTGTTTATATATGTGTTTTATCCTGATTGCTTTTCAACCATTTTATAGTAATTACCGACACTTCTCGTTTCAATGACTCGTTGATTACATTATAATACATATCTCAAGTAGCGAGGGCATTGTTTTAGGCCCATGTTCTATACATTATTAAAAAGGTATGTCAAAAGGGCTTAGTCTGAATTTTCACCCCTCTCTGATTTAGCACTTCTCGTTTCAATGACCTCTTAATTACATTACAGATGAACATACATCAAGTGGAGAACTGTATTGTTTTAGGTCCATGTCCCATGAATTATTCTAAAGATATGTCAACAGGATTTAGCCTGAATTTGTTCCAATCTGTAAGCTTTACCAAATAACAAACACTTCATGTTGCATTGACCCAAAGATTACAGATGTATTGTATGATATTTTATAACCGTGCTGGGATATGCTTTAATTTAAGATATGTGTTTTTCATTCATGGTGGAAAGGAACCGTCATCTTTGCATTTGAGTTTCATTTCTGAATACATGTCATAGAATCTCGCCTTCATGATCTGTTCTTCCTTTCTGATTATTTTTTCGACCCTTCCTTCCTGCTATATGTAATGATCTATTCTTCCTTCCTGATTCCCTTATATAATTTCTTTCTCCCTTCTTGATTCTATTTTATGATCTATTCTTCCTTCCTGATTCTATATTATGATCTATTCTATGTTACTGATTCTATTTTATGATCTATTCTGCGTTCCTGATTTTCTAATTTACGATCTATTCTTCCTTCCTGATTCTATTTTACGATCTATTCTTCCTTCCTGATGCTATTTGATGATCTATTCTGATTCTAATTTATGATCTATTCTTCCTTCCTGATTCTATTTTATGATCTATTCTTCCTTACTGATTCTATTTTATGATCTATTCTTCCTTCCTGATTGTATTTTATGCTTTATCCTTCCTTCCTGATTCTCTTTTATGATCTATTCTTCCATTTCATGCTCTATCCTTCCTTCCTGGTTTTATTTTTATGATCTATTCTTCTCTCCTGATATATTCGCCCTTCTTCTGTTCCGTTTCTTCTTTTGTTCCGTGCTTCTTCTTTTGTTCCATAACATACCTTTAGTCCTTCCTTATTCTGTTCCATAAATTATGAAGCATATTCTCACTTACCGATATTGTACAGTTATCTAGCTTTTCTCCTGATCCATCTGTTCTTAACCACATTTCTGATCGTCTTCTTTCCCGATTCTAATTTATGATCTATTCTGTCTCCTTTTCTGTTGTATGATCTAGTCTTTCTTCGTTCCTTTACTTTCTACTTCACCTTAAAGAATCCAGCTGTCCTTATTGACTTTGTCCCTGTTGAAGACTATTAGAGAACCTATTCTATCCGATATTTTTCCGGAAATTGCTTTATTGAATACCGATACCGGAAAGAACTAGAAAACGTAATAATTACTAAGTAATTAAACGGAGAAAAATTAAATTTCATTACTTCAAGGCTAATTATGCTTAACATTTGAAACTTTGTTTGTACATTTTTTTATTGTAATTTAAGTTGTCTAAAGATAGACACACAGTATTCTCTTTGTTCCTTAAAGTATCCGCACCAGACAAAACACACACCAGATATTTCGGAGATAATAAGTTACTCAAAATAAACATGCAATTTCAATAGGCATTAGCGTACAGTGAAGCACATCATTTGTTAAGCTTCTGTAGATATTTATATATGGCATAACAAGAGTATGTATTTACGTTCTTTCTCTAAATTTTTAAATTTTAACCGTCAAGCCCAAATTACACCTGGTTGCACTTTTTCTTTACATTGTCAAAGAGGATCAGTTTTTGAAATTCTAACTTTCTCAACCCGTTAGTTTGTATACAAATTAGCTAATAAGACAAGTTTTAGTCACTTTGTGTTAATTAGAATGGCTAAAATAAAGAGAGATTCATTATGTGTTTGAGGTAAAAATCCTAAAGGTAATTTTAGATTGACATGTCGAGTGGCCAATCGGATTTAAGTTATTCAGTCTATGTTACGCCCCCTTTTTCGGAGTGAAGAACAGTATTTTCTATACACCTTTTACGTTTAAAGTTAGTTTTACTTTACTACAATATGGATATGTTAATGCTTGCCCCAGTTTTCATTATTAAAAAAAGGAAACTAATTATTAATTGTGATTAAGGTGCTTCTAAGAACGTGGAATATACAATTTCAATATGGAATCTCAGACTTCTTTGGATTATTTAATAGAAACTGAGGATTTTTTAGGCAAATTTGCCAAAGGTAAGCCATTTTAAATTCTCTTAAAAGCCCGCTCACGTGGTGTTTGGTACCATAGTTCCGGTTGTTCCTGGAACTGACACGGGTCGCTAACTTCATGCCTATACAAATCAGGCAATATCAAGCAAGGATTAATCAATAGTAAGAATCATTTGTTCCAAACTTATGATGCCTTTTTTTCTCTTTTTTTTAAACAGTCGGAAATTTCCCAAAACTTTCATACACAAAAAAGGACAGATGTCGCATTTAGTCTTACTCCTATTTCCACGAAACAACAAAGTCGTGACTTTTTACGTCACTTTTCTTTGACAATGTTTGAATATGTACGCGGATTTGTAAATTGGCAAAAAAGTGTCTCGTTAGTTTGCATGAACATTTTAAATATATTTATCCGTCCTTACGTTTCTATTTACCTAATGAACAATCCAGAAGGCAATTCAGTGAATGAAAGGTAGAGCTGAAAACGATGTATTTTAAAGGTTTAACTCATGAATTCGGCGATTCATAACGATTTTGGCATTCTCAGAAAATCGAACTATTTACGTCTGCATTAAGTTTACCAAACCATTTTATAACATCGTTGTGTATCTTTGTTTGAAAAATTTTCGACTCAATTCTTTGGTGTATATGATCTTAGACTAGGAAAGGAGGGAGAATAGCCTATTTATTTGGCAATGCTGACTCGTATGGACCCAAAATTGTCAGCAAAGACCGAAGGCAACCTAACAAAACAGCAACCTAACAAAACAGCAACCTAACAAAACAGTTTTTGGAACTTGAAAGGATCAGCTACTATACATGGATAACAATCTCGTGGCCAGAACCTGAAGCTCTCGAATTCAGGGTTCATACATCTATTGTTCTCGCGCTTCAATATGATCCAAAGCTTAGTAACATGCAATTAAAGTTTGGCGCGTAACATCTGTCTGTCTAAATAAGTGGCTTTCTCTTTCGTTTGATATTGCTGATAGTCGAAATTCTTTACTTTGTTCGTAACAAACTCTTGAATGAATGGGTTTTCATAAGAATTGGTAAAATATGTGAACGAAAAATTTGAACCTTGTTGAATATATTTGCAGTTCAAAAACAGTATGGCTATAAGACAAAGCTTAAACAAACAAGTCGCATCCTTTTCGTTATGCCTCCGCTTCAGCTGTGTTTAATATAACTGGTTACAAACCGGGTAACCTACGAATGTTATGGCAAAATTCTTGGTTCTTTGATTGAAGGGGTTGATATAGGTTAAACGGCGACCAGTTCCCCCCCCCCCCCCCCCTGCCTTAATATACAGGCGTAGTTATGTAGATCAAAACGTCTTTATGGCACCCTATACTCAAATACTAAGTCAACATTGATACCCAAGTGGATATACTAGATTTGAATCAATTTCTATGGACCCTAGCCCATCCTAGATTCCACACGCATTAAAAGATCGTTAGCTTTAAAATCTTAAGGTTCAGTATCTACCCTTATACTTTGGTGTTTACCTGTGACTTAGTAGGATGTACATGAAAATCTGCATCGTAATGACAAATAGTAATAGATGGGAACATGTGACCAATTCATATCCATCTCAAAATGGTGGCCTAGTTTATAATTATTATGAAATATTACTTAATATAATTTATATTTTTAAGGTTGGTCAAAACTTAAACATGTGTATCATAATCCTATCAGTTATCTTTATCGACGTTTTACTTATTCTTATATACAATTCGCTAACTAAAATACCACCGCACCCCTTTAATATACAACTAAAGTATTCACTGGAGTATGAAAGGGGGCGATTATTAGGCCGTTTATCGAATAGGGCCCTATATCTATCTTAAACACCCTTAAAACTCAGAATATATCATTTGTTCTATCTCTTGTTAAACACACCGAGTATAAAAGATCAAACAATTTACAACATGTTCGCGTCGCCCTTACTCAATTCAAAGTTTGGGGGTAACCAAAGCAGATCGGTATAATTAGAAACAGCCTCATCTAAGATTAGAAACTAGGCTAAACCCAAGGAAATGACATGGTAAACATAAAACAACAAAAAAACATAGACGAAAGTCTTATTTTTTGTAATAGTGCACTGATGACATGCCAAATTAAGATGTTAGAAATAGGTTTGAGACAAGGTGATAGGCTTTGTCCTTTCTCATTCACTTGCTTCAATAATGAACAAATACCACAAATCAATGAAGAAACCTCTGTACAAATATATCAATATCTCTTACAATTATTCATTAAGTACGATCCATTAGTTTTACCCTTCTTGAAGCACTATAATCACAAGCATTCACTAAAAATGCGGACCTTATTTGTTAATCAATGTTTGATAAATAAGCATCTTGGAATGAATTTTATGAACTTGGAAAGCATTGGGTCAATTCGTGCCCCTTGAAGTTCAAACGTTTAAAATTTGCATTTAAACAAAAATATTTGACTTTATTGTGTTTCAAGAGTAAAAAGCACACTAACAACTGTATTGTAACAATATAGCCATGTGGTTTGGGCAGGCGAGTTGACACAAATTCAATATTGGTCATCAACAAGGTGATTTTTGAAATACCTAAATGTTCCAAGACTTGGTGTCAAGCTAAGATGTCTCTGAATGGTGTAACAAATTTTTTTAACTTTCACATATTTGTGAACTTTCTAATCACCTAACCAACAACATAATTAGCCATTTTCTCGCCTTTTCATACACCGTGTATGCACGATACCCACTTAGATAGATAGTTTGGCCTATGTTTTAATTATATCTGATAAAATTCCGTTCCATTGAAATTAAAAAGCAATGTCATTGCTCATCATTTCCCTGCTTATGTCCCACGGTTTCCATTAGCCCCGTTTTTAGAAATGTGATGCAGGAAACATTGAATGGTTCTCTGAATCATTGTCCAATTCCAAATTGAATTTCCAAGATCGTAATATTTGAAACCATTTTTTTTTAATTTCAGCATTAGAAAGAGACGATGAAGGCCGGAAACACACATTTGAGATTTTAGCAGCTCTATGTGTGTATTCTAAAGAAGGATATAACAGAGCTGTGGGTGTTCTAGAGCATCACAAGGTAAGAGACATATTTCTCTATACGGCTATAAATAAGGATAGAAAACCTATGCATGTGCTATGCATCAAACTTTTCACAAATGGCTCATTCTAAATGCTATGCAGCATACTTGCCGTTGCAATGATATTATCTTGGTTGTAGCGATTAAGTATATAGATGACACTGGATACGCTCCCAAAATTGATATATTTTTGCGATATACATAAGTATACCATCACAATCGTGTCTACGAGATGGGTCGTTTTGCATATCCCATGGGTTATTAACAGTAATTTATCAGTACACAGTGTGACAATCTAAGCTATGGAATTTTAATAGAGGTTTAGATTCATTCTGTTGGTGACAAGGACTGCATTAGACAAATCACATAATCACTGTAATTATAATGTCATTGACCCATCGTCTAATATGACTTGTGTCAGATGTGGCTTTAGGTCATGAAGGTTGCCATATCTGAATTGTGAGCTTAAAAACGGAGTCCTATATCACTCGAGCTGAATTGTGAGCTTTAGAACAATACCTAATTTCACCAGAGCTGACGTTAAGGTTTATGACGGAACCCAAATTCACCAGAAGGTTTACTTTAAGGTTTAAGATGGAACCCAAATTCAAACGAATTTACAACAAATTCACTAGGGTGAAGGACGGAACCTACTTACGTCAAACCTTACTTCATGACAAAACCCAAATTGCACTAAAGCTTACGAATAAGGTTCTAAACAAAACCAAAGGTCTCTAAAGCTGAATTTTGAGGTTTAAGCTAAAACATGAGGTTTACGAAAGAATTAAAGAGCTTAGAACTAGGCATAGCCTAAGGTCACTAGATCCGAATTTGGATATTTCAGACGGAACCTGATTTCACAAGAGCTAAAGAATGAGGTTTAGGTAATGTTTGCGTAAGAAAGAAAATGACTCTCACCAACTCTGTGTTGTTCTATTTGAGTGACTGTGTGAATGTCGGATGATTGGTAAATACCAACTATGGACAGTGACAATAAGTTTACACATGACAATTCTTTTGTCCATTCTCACTGTTTGTCCAAGACTTAGATATTGGATGGCCAAAGTAAAAAAAGAAGAGGATAACGGGTGCGGGTAGATTACTCATAGGATTCACTACAATAAGATTGCCTCAAGATTCTATTTGCATCGGAAAATCAAGGGGATTTAACGTAATCGGACAAAAAAGACAATAGCCATAGTATTTATTACCAGTAGTGCCCTAACTGACTAGAAAAACATACACTGAATATAGATAAGGAAGTGGAGGGAATACTTAAAGAAATTATAAATAGGTTTTCTAAAATTTATGTGTATCGGGGACACTGATAGTATCATTTACTCCATTCAAAATTTCAGTCAGATGTCTGTGGTTCCTGCAATTCCATAAAAAAAAAGGTTTTTGATGACGTCACTAATCGCAAAAATATGCTTTATCACACTCTCGCAATTAGTGAAGTCATCAAACACTTAGTTTTAGTGGAATTGCAGGAACCACAGATGTCGGATTGAAAACTTGAATGGTGCAATTTGATGCTATCAGTGTCCCCGATACACATGTAAAGTTTAGAGAAAAACTCTTTGCAATCCCTTTAATGTAGTATGCAAAGTTATATTATGTAAAATGAAACGTTATTCAACAAATAGTGAATTGTCCTTCTAGTGCGTTGACAATAAACAAAGTTCGGCATGCTTTGACAACTGGCGTATGCATATAGTCACGCAAGCTGAAAACATTACAACAATATATTACTTGCTACATACAAGCGTCTTATTTTTACACAAGCAACCGCCTAGTTACCTCAATACACGCCAAGATTCAACAAGTTTGCGAGAGAAACATTACAATGGAATATTAGATCTCATTAAAATTATGAATTTGCCCATAAGGAAACGTCCTTGTTGAATTACCAAAACGAAACCCATAAAATTGCTTAGTAAGCATTCTATGAAATGACGTTATCCAAAATTATGAAAAAAATAGGGAACATAAATTTTGCTGTACACGTATAAGGAAATCTCCACAGTTTAAATAATACATTTACATTAAACGATTTCTTCAAAAGCGAGCAGTAAAGTCAAATCATATATCAAAAACCTCAAAGTTATGCATCCTTGTCAAAAGTCATAGTAACCGTATGTTGTCACTTAGTCAAATGCATTGTTTTAAATCACGACTTTATACAAGGAAATCTCGACTATGTCATGTCGAATGACAATATTGTATTTGGAGTAATATCTCTTCCTAGTTTTACACTTTGATTTCATGCCAATAAACAATGGCAATTACTTTCATAAACAAATACTTAAGATAGTGTTCAACTTTTGGCGAGGAATACAAATTCGTTAAGAACAGCATTTGACGTTACGTTTTGCACTACTGAAGGGTTCAAAATTTATATTTGTAACGACTTCCTTTAAAAATCTACAAATTAAGCTTTGCGAAAGCGAAATCGTTAATTTAACGCCCAAATATGATATTTCCGCCCCAAAATTCATCATGCCTTGCAGTGGCTTGGATAATGTATGTAAGCTACAACAAAATTTCAGGAAGCATTAATACATGTCATAACCAGGCTATAATTTGACCCAGAGACTAGGTCAGGCCTTGAAATAAATCGCCCAGCTTACAAATTACGTCATATCCTGTAATATTACGCATGTCCAGTAAATCTTGAGATATATTTGGTATATTGCAATGAAATGTGAAATTCCTCTAGATTGTAGATTTCATTTGACAATAACCATTAATCAAAGCACGAGTAACAGTTGACCCGGGAATGCAGGACTGTGGCGTGAGCATTACCTAGTCTAGGACCCACTGTTGTGTTATTACTTGCTTGCGTTTAAACAATTTTGAAAGGTGCATATCGGATTTCACCTTGAATCAGCATACCCACTAAGCTTTTGATATTTTATAAATTTTGTAATAATACACGTATAGCAAATCTTTTTGAAGATGTGTATCTTCTCGTATAATGTTTCTAAGCAAATTACCCGGATGTTAAGACAAAGTTTCTTTTAAGGTTCCCTCACACCGTAGCGATTACCATTTGCGTATGGTTGCGAGTAATGAAAATGACCATGGGCTTCAAACGTAACTCACAACTCAAGTTGTATGAGAGTTGCGTTCGAAACTTGTATATTCTTTTTCGCAACCATACGTACACGCAATTGGCGATCGCTATTGTGTGAGGGGCCCTTTACGTGAGTCTATATTTTTTTCTCAATTTTCGTTATTAAAAGATGTTTTTCTTAAACTTAACGTCCTGTGACTGAAGTTTTATTCAAACTATATTCCTTTCAATGTCAACCTCTATGTAAATGAACATGTCCCAGCGAGCTATGACACGACATTTTGTAAGTATTTTTCAAAACGTCAGCCATCCTTGTCGTATATTTGAAAGATTTGAAAAGACACTGCACTCACAAATGATTAATTATGCAAGTTTTAAAAAGCTTTGTATGGGGAAAGAACCCTCAAGCGACTATTCAAAAAATACATAATATGGCATGGCGGGCTGGTTTTACTTGTTCCATTCAAAAGAAGTTTAAATAATGACCTGCCCGCAAAAACTTGTTTGCATCTGGTTCGAAAATGATGAAAAAGTCCGCCATTTTCAAAACAATTCTCAATTTAACCCATCTGAACAGATGCCGGATGGTGAAAATATCCATTTAGTAGTTTTTTAAACTAAAAACAAGTTTATCTCGAATTTTTCATGGCCATTTCCTATCAGGTATATTGCATTCGACAATAAGTACACGTGATAATTTCGGAACACTAAAAATAACTGCGATATTTTGGATTCTGCGCAGTACAAGTATAAGACAATCTGGAGATCCGCATCCGGAAGCGTTGAAGATTGAAAGCAACGAATCATATACATGTACACATTGATTCATCTCAATCTTGATAGTGTTTGATAATAATTACTTACTTTTTTAAAAAAAAATAATAAGTTATTTTAGTTATCAAGGTTGCACCGCCTTGCACATAATCTGCGCATCTTTCCACGTGGTTCCATACAGGTGGTTTAAGATATCACCTTCAAAAGAGCAAGCCTCATCAAATGATGACTAAGCTAGCTCTTTTTATTCAAGGATGAGACAGATATTTCCTTTAAATTCAAGTTGGTAGCGAGGTTTCTTGCACAGTCGATGAATTAAAAAGTCCTTAAAACCCAGAAGTTAGTAATTCTTTCTGAAATTCAGTTTTGAATGTATGGGGGTTCTATCACGGCATTTGTCGGTTTCTCCCTCCAAAATGAGCATGCTTATGCCACTGTCCCTCGTTACCCACTGCATGGGGCAGCACTTTTTCAATATTTAGATTTTGCTTAAAAGTTAGTCATAGTACAAAGATATGCCAATCAAATATATACACCAAAAAAGTGGATTTTTTCGTCTTATTTTTATATACGCAGTCGACCTAGTTTAAAAATATTGAAAAAAAAGTTTTGCTTTTTCTTTTATTCTTAAGCAAGTTTATGAAACCTTTTGGCTGGTTTTCCCATGACAGCCCCTTGCTTGAGGGAAAATTGGGCTGATAATTTTAATAAAGTTAAAAATGTATTTTTGTCGTAATGCAAGATAATATATGTATGTTTTTTTATATCGCACAATGAAGTATTAATAGTTGATAATTCTAAATTGATTAAGTTATATATGGAACGACGCCCAGTAAGCCTGAGAAATCTAGTTTTTTTTCTTTGTGTATGTGACTTGCATTTACTTTTCATATACAATGCCTTACAAATATATCTATTAGAGACTTACAATTACTAGAAAGTTATTGAGGGCTAGAGGTCAGGGAGTTACATTGCTCTGATACAATTGCTACTAAGTGATTTAACGTGTTGCTTATATTATGCGGGATTGTTAATTGTTCTGTTTTTTTTTTACTATTGACAATTTGTGTTGAAACGGTTACTGTCAGTGACCATTTTGCTAACAATGAACCAGTGTCCGAAATATGATTCATTTTATTGTGCCTATTA